CGGTCATACGGACAGACGGAATGACGTGGCCAGATTTACTCGGTAGTGATCCTGATCAAGAATATAATATATATACTTTATACAGCCGGTAGCGCTTCCATCTACCTCCTGAATACGTTTTAATGAATCTAGTATTCACTTATACTCTAAAAGTAACGGGTATAACATTGAAAGCGTCTTTGGTGTCAGATAAGAAACCGTGGCCTTGATGCTGCTGATCTTTAAAAAAATCTTAAAGCCAATAATAGGTTTGGATGACCCGTTATAAAAGAAAAACTAAAACTCTTGGAAAAGTGCACAGATACATAAACAGAACTTTTTTTTAATAAAAATAATCCTTTTTTGTTATGCTTAGAGTCCACGTTATAGCTTCCGAGTTATCTAAGTTAATCTAGACGGACATGGCGACTGGGAAGTAATTTAGGATTACGATCAAAAATATTCGTATAAATATACATAAAAATGTATAAAAAATGTATAAATATACATTGTAGATATATAGTGACGTATTTGCGCCACCCAAACCGGCCAATTTAATTATTTCAAAGAACTGTAAACAATAAAGCACTTAATTGATTCCCATACAGTATGCCATCTGCGCAGTATGCGTTTTAATAAACAATTCTTTGGCAACGGCACTTAGCCGTTCTTGTAAACAAATCCTAAAGCCTGACCAAAGCAGCTTTGCCTGCTCTCAATGAAGCTTCTCCCAAACTTAAGTATCCAAGAGCAACGCTCTCCCAAAATACAATATTCCTAAAATACTGAGGCTTCTCCTCAATCTCACTTGCATTTGATTTTTATTCTTAAGCTGAATACTGAACAATAAAGATCACAATCCAACCCGATTTGTAATTTCTTTTATTTGACAAAACTTCGATTACAGCGTTGGTCTTAGTTACTGCAACGGTCCATTTAATAGACTCAAAAGTGAATAAATACACAATTGGCGCAGTCGGTCGTGATAGTGTTAAAAATCTAGTAGTCAAAAATCTATCGAAAAACACCTCGCTTTTAGACACCCGTGCGGCGGTCAATATCGTGTTAAGTTTTAATAAAAACCTCGACAATAACGCGAAATAAGTGAAAAACAAAACAAAAAAAATATATATATATTGAGTAAGATAAATAAATAAGATACAAACTAAGATCCATAAAGACAGACCGAAGTCAAAGGTCAACTAAATAAAAAATAAAACCAAATAACAATAACAACAAATAAATAAACTTGTTTTCAAATAACAAAAAAAAAAAAAAAAAAAAATACATCAAAATGACAACCGTACCACCCCTGTCATGTCCCAGGTTGCCTACCAGATTGGCAATGTGGAGAAATTCAACGGTGATCCAAGCACACTATACACCTTTGTCCGCCGGAGTGACTACTTACTGGCCCTTTATGTTACCGGAGATGAACGCCAACAGCAGATCCTATTTGGGCATATCGAGCGCAGCATCAGCGACAACTAGTACTCAACTATAAACCCCAGACCCCTAACCACGTTCTTTTGGAGGAGTTTCGGAAGACCCCGTTCCGAGGCAGTGTACGAGCATTCCTGGAAGAAGCAGAAATTAGAACAAAAGAACAGAACAGAATTAGAAAAAAACCTTGAAGAAAAAACCCTTTATTTAAGATTAATTAAATCCAGTATAGAATCCCTTATTAAAAAATTACCTACACACATTTATTTAAGAATAAATAATCATAACATACCAGACTTGCGATCACTTATAAACCTTTTACAAGAGAAAGGCATGTACGAACAAATAAATCACACAAATACACCTATCCAAAAACAAAATCTTTCTGATAAGCCACAAAAGCCCTTTAATCACAATACTAATCAGACTAATAACAACACCAGAAGATATCCAACACCTTTCCTACATTATTCACCAATGCCATATCCAGCCCCACAAATTTATCAAATACCACCAATTAATAACCCACCATATCGTCATCCAACACCCTATCTATCACCCTTATACAAACAACATTTTTCAACCAAGCCAACATGCAAACTTTGCACCTCGACCAATTCCTAACACCAATCGAAACAATGCATTCGATCAGAATAGGTTTGGACAACAACCCCAATATCAAAACCAACAATCAGCACATAATTATGGCCCCCAGGTGGCCAACCAACCAATGAAGCGACCAAGACCAGCTAACAGTGGACAGACTGGGATGAGTATTGACGAATCGATATATCAAGAGAGCGCTGCTTATCAGCAATATGTTCCTTATGACAGTTTTTACAATCCAACTTACGACTATTTTGAGCAAAGGCTACAAACCAATTACCATGCACCCCAAGTCAAATTTGTATACAATAAAATGAAAAGAGAACTAGCCGGAATAACCCTGCAACACAGAAACAAACGGGGACTTATTAACATTGTGGGCTCAGTTTTCAAATACTTGTTTGGCACACTCGATGAAAATGATCGAGTAGAAATACAGAAGAAACTTGACATGAACGCCCATAACTCAGTAAAACTACATGAACTCAACGACGCTATACGATTAATAAATGACGGAATGCAAAAGATACAGAATCATGAAAATAACAACAACATCATTAACACTCTTTTATTCGAACTAATGCAGTTCACAGAATACGTAGAAGATTTGGAAATGGCCATGCAGCTTTCCAGACTCGGACTGTTTAACCCCAAATTACTAAACTATGACAAACTTGAGAATGTGAATAACCAGAATATTTTAAACATCAAAACATCCACTTCGATTAACTACAATGATAACCAATTATTAATCATATCCCATATACCCATTAACTTTTCATTAATAAACACAATTAAAATAATCCCTTACCCAGATTCCAACGGCTATCAGCTAGATTACACAGACACACAATCATATTTTGAAAGAGCAAATAAAATTTACAATGCTGAAAATAAAGAAATAAACAATGAATGTGTCACTAATATTATTAAACACTTAAAACCAATTTGTAATTTTAAGCCAGTGCACACGAAAGAAATAATAAAATACATAGCACCTAACACAATTGTAACTTGGAACTTAACGCAAACCATTCTTAAACAAAATTGCCAAAACCCAATTAATAATATAAAAATAAAAGGAAACAAAATGATAAGAGTAACCCAATGCAAAATAGAAATCGATGGCATAATTTTAAGTGAAAATCTTTTAAAACCAGAAATAGACTTGACACCACTGTACACTTCACTTAATATAACAAAAATAAAAATTGTAAAACATAACGACATCGTTAAAATGATTTCAGAAAACAACATTACACTTTACATACTAATGACCATTGTCATAAATGCACTTATTTTATTGTATTTATATTTAAGATTTGTATCATTTAACCCATTCATGATGCTGTATGCAAAATTCAAAATAAGAAATCAAAATCAAAACACACCACAACAAATAGAAATGGAAGAAGGTCCATTACCCCTACTATACCCATCAATCCCAGCCCAAGTATAGGCTTCCCTTTAAGGGGAGGGTAGTGACGTATTTGCGTTACCCAAACCGGCCAATTTAATTACTTCAAAGAACTATAAACAATAAAGCACTTAATTGATTCCCATACTGTATGCCATCTGCGCAGTATGCGTTTTAATAAACAATTGTTTGGCAACGGCACTTAGCCGTTCTTGTAAACAAATCCTAAAGCCTGACCCAAGCAGCTTTGCCTGCTCTCAATGAAGCTTCTCCCAAACTTAAGTATCCAAGAGCAACGCTGTCCCAAAATACAATATTCCTAAAATACTGAGGCTTCTCCTCAATCTCACTTGCATTTGATTTTTAGTCTTAAGCTGAATACTGAACAATAAAGATCACAATCCAACCCGATTTGTAATTTCTTTTATTTGACAAAACTTCCGTTACAGCATTTGTCTTAGTTACTGCAACGGTCCATTTAATAGACTCAAAAGTGAATAAATACCCAATTATATGTATACTCCTAATATGCATTTTATAGTGTCGAGAACGTGTATAAAGGGCTTAAGAATACTGTCTTCGTTGTTTTTCTCCTGCAAATACGTAGCTTGTTATTTGACTCATTAAATAAATTATTTCACTTATTTCAATAAATGTTATGAAAATCATGGGATCAAATTACCGCCCATTTTTTATATAACATTCGTTTTTTTTTCTTTGGCAACACAAATTGCTTCTTAAGTTTCAAATTTATTCTTGTTACGAATAAAACCAAGTCTCTATGTATGGACTTCTATTAATTTGTACTCTTAAATTGTTACTGATTCTTCTTTTACTGTGATTTTAGACATAATAATAAGTTAAACTTAACTTGTAGCACTTATTTGTCGTCATAATAAAACCTGACCACTATTGGTCAGCTACATGACATAATAATTATATGTAATTATATTATAATTATAATAACACAAAGCAAAAATTATCATTCAGTTGTTTTGTTTTGTCGTACTTTGATGTATCGAACATTTTTATGATTTAAGAATTATGAAATTAATCCAAGTATAGTCGAAAACTATATCATAAAGCCCCCAAGAAAAATGATCAAAAATTGCTCTAAAGACGATTGCGCCTTTGTGGTGTCGTAATATTTCGGAAAGATAAAAACGTTAAATTACCACCCAGACCTCGGAGCCGACAAATACCTCAACAATTTATATTTTTGATTCGTCCCAACAAAGCTCCTCTATTTCTATTTTTGTTGTTCCGAAATAAAATTCTTAGCTTGAAGTCGCAGCCTTTAAAAAAATAAGTATCCCCTTCTGTAGCAAAACACTGTAGGTCATATTCTTCTAAGCCATGTTGGTTATACCCAACAACAAATCTTTACAAGAAAGTCGTCCTCTTCTTGACACCGTAAGTATTTAAAATAGAGTCCAACCGGGAACGACTATTTTAGGCCCATATTCTTCCCTTATCTTCCCCATTAAAAAGTGTTACATTTTCCTATAAGCAGTTATGGTCATTAAACTTTTAATCAAATATAAATGTTAGATAGTTAAATTTATTTAATCTTTTATTATAATTGCATTTAAATACACTATGAGTTGTATTATTCTGTAACTGTAAGATACAAGTTAAGCGGTGTACACATCCGTTCCGAAGCCATTAGCTAACATTTGCTGGTCAATCCAACTTCGGGCCAAGGCTACGTTGGCATAAGCTGCTGGAACTTCATCATTACATCCTATTCCCCAAGCAACTATACCAGCCTGCTGATATCGGGACTCCCTTGTACTTCCAATAGGACAAGCCAGTGGAGCTCCGCCATCCCCTTGACAGGTATCAATGCCACGCTGTCCACCCGCGCATATGAATGACCTATCCAATGCAAACTTTGGTCCAAGTCGAGTGCCTCTAAGTCGCGTTTGACAATTGTTAAACTCGACAATGGGTAACGGAACACGCTTCATGAAGGCGCTATATTTGCCCAAAGAACCAAAATCATCTTTTCCCCAGCCGGTGGAAAAACATGTGTTACCGGGTTCCGGGATATCATTTTGTTGTGGTAAGCATATAACATTAATATGATCATCCAAAGCAAACGGTTGAGTTAGAATTATAAGTGCGAAATCATAAGCTATGTTTCTGCTTCTATATTTAGGATGCCATATAACAGTTTGTACCGATCTTTCTTGATACGGTAGACGCTCTTTCGTTGTTTGTGTGTCCCACTCTCCAGCTCGGACAGTAAATGATCCTGTATTAACCGTCTCAACACAGTGCACAGCAGTCAAAACCACTTGTTTATGTATAAGTGATCCAGCACAGAAATAGCTTAAATTTCCAGAATGCAATAGTGCTACCGTCCATGGAAACTCGCCAAAGCCCGCTTCATTTTGCGATGCCCCGGAAAGAATAAAATCTAGTCCACCTGTGTTGCGAACACCGCAGCCCTTTGGTTGGTTTGGTCTTTGATCCAAGGGCGTCGGATTCAACGTTCTATTAACCGTCCTATTATCATCACAACATACGTCTACAGATGCCGGGCATATCGGATCATCGGCGTTAAAACGAATATCTATAACACCAAATCCGTCAAAAGAGCCATCTTCAGTGACACTATTCGTTGACGGATCACATTTATAATAAGGTACGCAATGACAAGTTGCGGTTTTGCCACTAGTTGAACTAAAATTTGACTGTTGACTTATGGTTTCTATAGGATCGGGTGTAACCAATAATCCGATTCCGCTCTGTAGTTGCGCTGGACGATTACTATTAGTATTAAATATATCCTCAATGTTTTTTTGTGCGTTAATGTTTTGCTGAAGAGCAGGTGAAGATAGGCCTAATAATATAATTGAACATATTGATATAAAATTATTTTTATTGCCAGTCATCTGTAATGTAAAATAAGAAATTATTTCATAAAGTAAGCTTAGATCAAAAAATTGTTCACTGTTATTTGTCTCAATGGATAAAATGAAAATCAAAATGGCTTAGAACCATAAAAAATAGAACGAAACTTACAATAAAAACCAGAGAGAATGCTATAGTCGAGTTCCACGACTATCAGATAGCCGTTACTCAGCTAAAGGAAGTGCGAACGCAAAATTTCACAATTTCGTGGAATATCGGTAGAGATTGGAAAAAATATAAAATACATGAACATTTTTTAAAAAATTGACAGTTTTTGGGCGGTAAAAATTTTGAGCGTGGCAAAAATTTGTTTTTTGCAAAATCGATAGAAATTTACAAGACTAATAAAAAATATAAAACATTTTTTAAAAGCATCATTTGACAAACTTGCTCTGCATCTTACTATGTCTCTGGAATCTACTTACCTTATCTCAATTTTCCAAATTTTATGGTTCCTCATACGAACGGACAGACGGACAGACTCGGCTACTGATCCTGATCAAGAATTTAAATACTTTATATGGTCGGAAACGCTTACTTCTGCCTGTTACATACTTTTCAACGAATATAACTTAACCCTTTTACTCTACGAGTAACGGGTATAATGAAAAAATTTCAAAACATTTTTGAAAAGTGTGGGTGTGACTGTTTTTCGCGGTTTGTGGGCGTAGCAGTGGGCGTCGTAAAAACTTTTTGTCAAATCTATACACATAGAACGAAAATATACAAAATTTACACAATATATAAAAAAATATCAAATTTTTCAAAAGTGTGGGCGTGGCAGTTTGAGCGGTTCGTGGGTGTGGAAACATTTGGAAACAAACTTGCGCTGCGTCTATGTCTCTGGAAGCTGCATGCTTAGTCTCAACATTTTAGCCTTTATAGTTCCTGAGTTCGAGGCGTTTATACAGACCAGATCGATTCGGTTTTTGATCCTGATCAAGAATAATATACTTTATATGGTCGGAAACGTTTCCTTCTGCCATTTACATACTTTTCAAGGCATCTGCTGTACCCTATTGCTCTAAGTAACGGGTACAAAAAAATATTATTAAATCTGGGCTAAGTAATTATAATATAATATAATATAATATAATTTTATTCAACACGTTTCACCTAAATGTTAAATAATAGGAAAAGACCTTTGGAAGTGAAGTCACACATTATTTTAGTTAAGCTTTAATTGTTGTTGGTTACTTTATACAATTGTTAATTCAAAAATTAGAACTATAATTTCTTAACTTTTTTAAAATATTATTAAGTGTATACTTTTTGTATATTTATATACGGTAAAAATATGTGTATTACTTTATAAAAGAAGATCGCTTTACTTAGTTGCTCTGATCGCGGGAAAAACGTCTTGACTACTGGTGTCGAGAGCCTAACCCAAATGAGATATGTAAGTTTTCTGAAAGTATATTAGTATGTGTGTATACATGCGTATATATAAATTACCTCAGAGCAACACGAACGTCACTAGCAAAGTTTACTGATAAGAACTGAAATCTACGCTCAGAGTAATCTTTTTTTAATTCGTTTACTTCGAACGGTTCATAACAAAAACGGTTTCAAAAAAAAATGCTTCTTAAAGCGTTGAAAGAAAATAATTAAGTAGGCAAATAAATATTTTTATAACGAGAGGCGAATAATTAAATTTTAGATATTGTATTTTAATTTATCTATATAATCCTCACAAAAGTTGATATCAAGACTTGAAACTGCGATCGGCATTAATTTTTTACCTCGTTAACAGGTGTTTTTATTTGATATCAGAAGTTTTAAATGGAAAAATTTAGATACCTGAGATAGATACCTTAAATACCAAGATAGATTGGATTAAAACAAAAAAAAAAAATTTGTTGTTACAGACACAAACAACACACATAAATATTTATTTTTAAAATAATACCCAAAATCTTTTTTTTAAGACATCTTTTTAACGGAGCATCGGATTTTAGTAAATGATCATCAACGCTAATTTTGAACAATAATCTCTTAATAAATGTTAACCCTACCATCATCCCTTTTTTAAATTATTTTTTTACACTTTAACTTGGTATTATTAGACAACTGCAGCCGATATTAATATATTCATGTATATATATTATGCGCCCGATGCGCTTCGTCACTACTTCAGTCATCCAAATTGATGAATAAATTGACAAACAGGTTTTAGATCAGAGATGCAAAAACCCAGTTTACGGCTGAGCAAATAACCAATACACCTCAATAAAAACACAAAGACGTATTTACGAACAAATACGTCTATTTATACCCGTTACTCGTAGAGTAAAAAGGTATACTAGATTCGTTGAATAGTATGTAACAAGCAGAAGGAAGCGTTTCCGACCATATAATGTATGTATTTTCTTGATCAGGATCAAGAGTCGATGACGAAGCGCAAGTTTGTTAAATGATGTTTCCACGCCTACTCTAACGCCCACAAACCGCCCAAACCTGTCACGCCTACACTTTTGAAAAATGTTTTGATATTTATTCATTTTTGTATTAGTTTTGTAAATTTGTATCGATTTGACAAAAATCGTTTTGCCACGCCCACTCTACCGCACAAAACTGTCACGCTACACACTTAAAAAAATTAAAATTTTTTTTTACCGATTTTTTCTTCCGAAAAGCACTTCCACTAGCTGAGTAACGGGAATCTGATAGTCGGGGAACTCGACTATAGCTTTTTATCTTGTTTTGTTTTAATTTCTATACAGAAATAGTACAAATTAATGAAGGAATTGAAATAAAGATTTATGATAAGGCGCTTAAAAAAGTTGCCATTTTTTAAATTTAAATTATACATTTTTTTTAGAATCGATAGCTCCCTCTCTAACTGTTACGTACATACTTTTTAACAAACATAGTTTGCTAGGAATAACGTATAAATGTCGATTTCATGTTTGTTTAATTAGTTTTCTCTGTGATGCTTTCCCATTTATACCGTGAGAGCCAAACGTCTTTTTTACATACATATGTATGAGAAAACATATACAATGTATGTATACGCTATAATTCCCAGTCGCAAATTCGGGAACGTGTCAGGGAAAATATGTAAGTATTATAGAGTGCTTATTTTTCCATAGAATAACGAAACAATTTCTTTCTTCCACAATAGAGAAACTTGATATAGGCATTGCATTGAAGTCTTCGTATAGTAGACTTCTATAATGCAATTAGATGTAGTACATAGGTACTCTTTTGGATATGTTAGGGAAAATAAGAAACTCAAAATTTGCCGATTGCTCATATTTTTACAATCATGCATATTCTGGTAAAGGCCGAACTAACATCTTTCTCAAATGCATATATGTATTTTAATTTCACAATGTCCTCTTATTAGTATAATTAAGAATAATAATTAATTCTGAATATAAATATGATTATAATATATAATATATTAATAATGTAAGGATTATATATAAATAATACTACTACAAAATACATACACATACATAGTATATATATATATAAATGTATAACATATAAGGCATATTTGATGTATACTTTTTCTATACATGAAATATTTCCTCTAAAAGTGTGTATGCTTACATACAATATGTATGTTTTCTTACATTGCCTGACATTATAGTTTTGATCACCATAGTAAAAAGGCAATTACATTTTAAACAAGCGGTACTTACATATGAATAGCAAATGACGAAAAGACAAAGAAGTACATAGCATTTCTGTTGTTCTATTGCGTTTCTGTTCAGTTGCTTTCAATTTTGAATCGTCAAGATTGTCAGCGTTTCGTTAAAATTTAATTTTAATAAAATTATGCGTTAAATTATTTCGTATTATTAATTAATTATTATTATTATTTCGCTTTGTTTTCTATTCTTTTCCATTTACTTTTTTCTCCATTATCTGCAATGTGTGTATGTATGTATATGTACATACATATATTGCACATGTTTGCCTTTTCTCTACCAGGATAAATCAAAAAGTCTACTGATACTGGAATTTATAGACCTATTGTAGTTAAATAAAATAAACAATTAAATACTCATTGAACCGGGACTGTGGTATACTCTTTTGGAACACTTCCTCTACTTTAGTTAGAATACACTCAAGAGAATTTTTCCTAATTAATAAATAATTCATAGCCACCTACGATGGTTTTTGGTCGCTATCGATGGCGCTGGGCATTACTTATGATCACAAATCACAATGATTTAAATAAATTAAATGGATGATGGCTGCAAATGGTTTTTATCTGACTTTTTTGATTAGTTGCCATACAGAATTAAAGTAAATCACATTTTGTTGTTTCTCGTTAATACAAATAAAGCGCCTATGTGACAATTAAAGATAAATTAATGTTTCAAACTACACATCGGTTGCAGCAAGCTGATCGCGTTTGTTTTACATAGTTTGTTTTAAAGTTTCTTATCGATATCGATATCCACAGGTGTTCACACTGTAATTTCTAAACATACGGCGTATCGTTTGGGAGTTCTTTACAAACATTTTTAAAAAATAATGAGCCAATTTAAGAGGACGACGTGCAATAATTTTCCGCATTACGGCAACACAATTTTTCATTTTGTCTGGAATTTTGCCAATTTAGGGGATAAAGAGACCTAGTCAAAAACTGCCAGTTAAAAATCCCTAACTTCCAGAAACGCAACCTAAACACCTGAGAATTTTAGTAGCCTCATCAAAAGACCATCAAAACTATATCAGAGTTTTCGTACTTTGCTGCCAACAGAGCTCTTAAGTACATAAGCAATGATATCATATCTGAGAAGTTGGCGATAAATTCACCAAAGTTACCTCCGTACACGGTAATTGCAACATCAAATACAAACTCCAAATACTCCATACTTAATAAACATCCCAGAAAATAAAATTGTTGAATAAATAAAATCTCAATATGTTCACATCGTTTCAAGTTTAACAAAAAGATCGATGGCACAGCACACCCCAGCAATTTTTTACTAGACGCACATCAAAGCATTGCAAGAAACCAGCCGCCTGTGTATCGTGCAGTCACGTTCCACACATTCCCGTTCCTTGTACAAGACTTTTTTGTGCAAACTGCAACGATGATTCCGGACTCTTAGTCGCAATCCTCTCTATTCTTACATTTATATAAACTTATACACATTAAAATATATATAACAATAAAACCAATTTATGGTAAATCATGGCAACTGACTCTGTTTCTAAAAAACCACGCACCAGATTTTGTATATTTGGAGGAGACCCACCCTCCCATATAATTTTACAAATTTTATCTGCCACACAGAATATACCAGGTATTTCCACAATCTCCCACAAAACAACACAGCCAAACAAGGTATTGGTGTGTTTATAAAGAGAAACAATCTATACACTTACCATAAAATAAAATCTAGATTGCTTTGCTTCATTCTGCAGTTTCACTATTAATGTTTACATCCCACCTAACCAAAGCTTTACGTCCGCTCCTTTTTAGATTTAATTTAAATTTTAGTGACATTTTTCTTTAACCCTGGAATGCCATGGGATTAGCCACAATTATGCCAATATCAAAAGCCCACTTCTAAAATTAACAGCTACCGACCTATCTCCCTATTATCATGTCTGGGGAAAACATCAGAAAAAATAATTGTCCAAGACTTATCTGGTTTTGTAACCGCCACGCTTTAATTTCGCATAACCAAGTTGCATTAAAAAAAAGAGCACTTTGAACTCGTTGCTGCGCATTTAACACTTCGCGTCGAACGCCCTGTCGACCAAAAATCTCGTCTGTAAAGAGCCTTTGATCGCATGAGAATGCTGTAGTCGAGCTCCCCGGCTATCAGATACCCGTTACTCAGCTAGTGGAAAAATAATATAGTTTTCCACAAGTTCGGGGGTGACAGTTTGGGGTAGTTTGTGGACGTTAGAGTGGGCGTGACAAAAAGTTGTTTAGAAAATCTAAAAAATGGAAAAAAAAAAAATTAAAAATATCACATTTTTAAAATGTGTGGGCGTAGCAGTTACAGTATAACAGTATAGCACAAGAAACTTACATAACCAATATTAATTCTTCAAAAGTTTGGCGTGACAGTTTTTCGCCATTACAGTGGTCGTGGCAACATTTGGGAACAAGCCTGCACTGCGCCTATGTCTCTGGAAGCTGATACGTTGAAAATTATGTAACAGGCAGAAGGATGCATTTCCGACCATATAAAGTATATATATTCTTGATCAGGATCAATAGCAGAGTCAAACTGGCCATGTCCGTCCGTCTCTCCGTATAAACCCCTCGATCTCGCCCGAACTTTTGGAGAAATAAATTTTTTTTCATGTTATTATTTGTTTTACAATTTATACCGATATTCCAGAATATGTTGAAATTTCTCGTTCGTACTTCCACTAGAACTCAACTATATATCTTGTTATACATATATATATATAATTATAACTTCGGTTTGTTGGTTTATAAAAAGAATATTTTTATTAATCAAAAACTTAAGCGAACGTCGGAGACAAATTCACGTCTTACACAATTGAAGTATGAATAAAATCTAAATCTAATTTGCAAAGCGGACGCTGAGCAAACCCTTGGCTGAGCTTATTTACTCCTTCATTACTCCTCTCATTTATGTTTACGTTAATTAAGCGCTCTCTTGAGGGGATTGCGCATAGATACAGATCAGCCGAGTTTGAGCTACGTGGAAAGTTTTGACCCTTTAAGCTGTGTAAGCAGTTTTCACCCTTCTAGTGGGAATAACGAATAAGACTGCGGATATTTATATTAAATTGTTTACATCGGCCGAATTCGTTATTGTCACCAAGTTCGTTATTGTCTTGGTTCTATGTTCTATTGTTGCTAAGTAAGAGAATATATAAAGTGGCTGGTATATGTTGTGTAGATATATGTTATGTGGTTGAGCATTACATATGTCGTGTCTTTTAATCTGTTGTATGTATCAGTGATCTTTTTATATTTCTTTAGCATGTAGATATGATAATGGTTCTAATTTTGTTACATTGTTATTGATATAAACCGTTTGTGTGTAGTCTATTGTTGTGTTTGTAATTAATATGTTTTCTATTTGAACAGAACAATTAAAAGCTTTTATTATATTATCTCCTTCTATTATAATTTCTCTGTTATACAGTTTTGATTTAATGCAATTTTTGATCATTTCCAAGTTAAAATTATGTTTGGCTCTACATAATTTCCAATATTGCTATGTGTTATTGAATATCTACATTCTGTTGGTATTTGATTTAATATTCCTGTAATACATTTGGTTATTATTGGTTTTCTTGAGTTTTGTTTATAAACTTGATTATATTGAATATAATATTTATCATTTACATTTTCTATAAGTATATTATTATCTTTGTCCGGATTTGGTACAATGTTAAAAAGTGCAGTTTTTATAATGTCTCTAGGAATATGGGAAATAATAAGTATTTAATTTTCCTCTGATTTTTTATATTTAACAATTTTTTGGAATTTACATGTGATAATGGATCATGTTTTAATAATTTGGGATTCAAAATACCAAGTCTTGTTAATTGCATACCAAGTTCTATATCTTCAATGTATTCGGTAAAGTGTTGTAAATTAAATATTAAAAGTTCTAGTCTTCTGTCACATTCACTTATTGCGCTTAAATGTTTGATTGCTTTTATTGACTACTTCTATTACTTCATTCAATTCATTAATTTGAATACTGTTGAGAAAGATCGTTTATTTTTTGTTCTAATTCTTCTTTATCATTTTGATCTAAAGTGCCAAAAAGGTATTTATATGCGGTACCTATAATATTAATTAAACCACGTTTATTGCGGTTTATTATTCCTATTCCATTCATCTCTCTGTTTAACTTTTCAGTTAAATATTGAATTTGGGCTATATTACCATATTCTTCAGCTTGTTTAACTAATTTGCAAAAGTTTGTTCGGTTTTTGTTAAGTTTACGGACAAATAGTGATATTCGTAGTTTATAGGTATATTAATAATTGATCCTCTTTTTAAATGTATATCCATTTTAAGCTTGTTTGGGTTCACCTCTAGGTTTTGACCACGGACGGCACGGACGGCACGGACGAAACATATTATAAGTGTTATTATGAATAACTGTTTAATCGGACCCCACTTGATTTTCGGCAGTTGAGCTGGAATTGTATTTACTGTTATTAATTTTCTTTTGTTTTTTAAATTTAGATTTATAATGTTCAATTTTTCTTCCTCTATTTGTTTCTTCGTTTATCTATTTGTTTATCATCTGTTTGTTCTATACGTCTTGTTTTCTTAATTGTGTTAGTGGTTTTACCTATTACCAATGGTGCTTGTTTATATCAAGTGTCTACTTCATGGCTATGTTTATCATTATTCAACTTATCTATTTTTGATTGTTTCTCCTTTTGGGTGTCATATACAGGTGTTCCTGCATAAATGAAAATATCAGATGGTATCCTACCAGTTGTGTTGTGTTTGGTTTTATGATTATATATATTACATAGAGAATAGTTTCAAATTGTGTTATCTTATTTTCTGGGTCGGACTGACTATTAATGATTCTTAACTTTTCATTGACTGCATTATGGAATCTTTCAATGTCAGAAATTCCATTTTTACTTGTTGTGATATTTATATTCACATTTTCGGACCTAAGCCATAAGTGTAACGCGGAACATATAAAAGCTGAATCTTTATCGGCTTTTATTTCGGACGGATTTCCCATTTCATTGCTTCAAGCCAGTCTCTACTGCTGACTTCAATCAAGGCGGCATATTTGGAATAAATGTCAATGCATGACAGGAATGTTTTATTATTGATGTTTTTCTCTGTTCTGTTTTGGATATGTTACATACTTCGCATTCATTAATAATGTTCTGGTATCTTGGTAATAATGGTCTGGGTAATAATATTTTTCTTTGAAAAGGTTAGTTTGTTTCTCTATTCCTGGGTGTAAAAGTTTTCTGTGGCTTTTTATAAATATTTCTTTAAATTCTCAATATGTTTCAATATCTTTTAAATTAATGTTTGATTTCATAACCTTAGTTATGTTATTCGGACTGACAATTTCTATGTAAGCGTTTTGAAATGTAAGGAAATCAATTTCGTTATGAAAGAAAATTACGCTTCTTTTGGTAAATAAATATTCTTTAATTAATTCTTTGGCATGGACATGTGTCATTTGGTAATCAAATTCATTTAATTTGATTTTCCATCTCTGAAGTTTTAATGTTTGGCTCTTTAATTGAATCAAGCCAAACCAATGGCCTGTGATCACTATAGATCTTGAATTTTCTGCCAAATAAAGAGGACCTGAAATATTTAGTGGCCCAAACAATAGCAAGGAGTTCCTTTTCTATTGTGGAATAATTAATTTCATGTTCGTTCAGAGTTCTGCTCGCATAGCATATAGGTTTATGCTCTTGCGATAATACCGCGCCTATAGCAAAATTACTGGCATCAGTAGTTAGTGAAAGACTTTTTAAAGTCTGGGTGTATTAATATGGAATCGGACGTTATTAACACTTAATTTTTCAAAAGCTAAGTAATAGTCTGAGTCTTTGATATTTATTATTGAGCCTTTTTTAGTCGTAAAGTCGTAATTGTTTTGCTATTTTAGCGAAGTTTGGAATAAATTTGCGGTAAAAACCGCAAAGACCAAGAAATGATTTTATTTCTTTAGTGGTCTTTGGAATGGGGAAATTCACTACGGCTTTAATTTTTGTGGGATTTGGTTTAATACCATCTGTTGTAATTATGTGCCCTTGGAATTCAGTTTCTTTTTTAAGGAATTCGCATTTCTCTAGCTGTAATTTTAAATTTGCTTCTCTGAGTTTTAAAAATACCTTTCGCAAAGACACTATGTGCTCTTCCAATGAAGTGGAATACACAATTATGTTATCCATATATACGAGACAGTTTTTGTATATTAAATCTGCTAAGAGATTATTCATGCAACGTTGAAAAGTAGCGGGTGCATTTTTTAAACCAAATGGCATTCGAGTAAATTCAAAATGACCATTTTTGGTGGAAAAAGCTGTCTTCGCTATGGAATTTTCATTCATTTGTATTTGATGAAAACCTTTTGCGAGGTCAATGGTTGTAAAGTATTGGCAATTTCCAAGCTTGTCAAATATTTCATCCATTTCCGGTATTGGGTATTTGCCATCAACGGTTATTTCGTTGAGGTTGCGATAGTCAATGACTATGCG